TCGGGTGACTCTATGCGAAGATAGACTGCAGCAGCTTAGCCTAACTCTGAGGCGTCAGAGAATCCATGCAGCTGGCAACGTAGAATATTTTGCGAAAAAATGTATCTAGGAAAAAGTATTTTAGCTAAACCAGGAAGTTCTGATTGAATTTGAGACCAACGGTTTTGGATAGATTGTTCGACTGGCTCGTCCCAGCCGGTTTTAGAAAGCCACAGCCTTTGCATTAAGTGTTTAGCGCAGAATGAGACAGGCGACAGAAATCCCAGAGGGTCAAAAATTCTAGCAATTTCGGATAAGATATTGCGTTTGGTGCACGGCTTGTCTGATGGTTCACCAGCGAAAAACATTTTATCTGATGAGGGGTTCAGTGTAAACCTAGGACTTTTATGGATAATGGTTCCTCCCTGTCGAACGACACGGGAATTTGGCATTCTTTGGGGGAGAGAGATGATAGTAGTTGCCGATGATTGCTTGCCCATTTTCTTAGCTCAAACCCACCGCATTTCAAGAGAGCAATCATGTCCTTCTGCAAAGATAATGCAGAGTCCAAGTCCGAGGTACCTGAACAAATATCGTCAACAAAAGTATCCTCCAGAAGTACCTGCGCCGCTTCCGGGTATTTGTGTTTTTCCAATGAGGCTAACTCTTGAAGTGTACGAATTGCGAGAAAAGGACTGGAGCTTACACCAAAGGTCACTGTGTTGAGACGATATTCTTCCACTGGATCATTAGGATCGAAACGCCAAAGGAGTCTTTGGAAATCCTTATGTTCTGGAGTCAGGTTTATTTGCAGGTACATTTGTTTGATGTCTGCCAAGAAAACGATTGGATGAAATCGAAACTATAGAAGTATCGTGTTGATATCCTTTTGAAGCTTTGGACCAGTCAAAAGCACATCGTTCAAACTGAGGCCCTTGGAACCCTTTGGCGAAACATTGAAAACTACTCTAAGTTTGGTGGTTGATTTTCCGGGTTTGATCACAGCATGATGGGAGAGGTAATTAACTAATTTGTAAGTATTGCTTCATGAAATCAGCATACTGCCGATATAGAATTGGATTTTTGACTAATCGGGATTCTAAGGATTGAAAGCATCTGTAGGCGCGAAAATAAGTGTCCCCTAAATCGGGTTCGAAATGGCGAAAGGGCAGCTAAACTACAAATCTTCCCGACTATAGTTAAAGACTTTTGGTAAATTGATTCGCATTTCTGATCATCAGGAGATAGGTAACTCTTAGAGGGTATATTTTCCAAGTCCCAAAATTTGCATATACTTTGTTCAAGCGTAGAATGCAGGGAAATTAAATAGGAATCGATCACATTGTGTGAAATTGGTCTGGGCTGTATATAGGTTTGTCCTAGTAGAACCCAACCAAAGCATGTTTCAAAAGCTGACGCTTGCCCTTGACTTCCAGGAATCCGACCTGATTTTAGAATTTGGGAGGAGATATCTGCTCCCAACAACATGTGTACGGGAGCAGGAATAGAAAAGTGCTCGTCGCCCAGTGTCAGCTTTGATATATGGCCCCAACTTTGAGTGTTGATTTTAACAGAAGGCATGTCTGAACAAAGTTTGGATAGAACTAATGCCTCCAACGAAAAGACAGGGTCAGTTTTGCCGATAGGCTTAATGGTGCAACTTGTAAGGCCACAAGTGTCGGAAGTCGATTGACTTATTCCGACGACCGGAATGTGACATTCTTTCCTGGATAAACCCAGGCGATTGAGACACTTTTGGGTTATGAAGTTGGCCTGACTGGCTGAATCTAAAACGGCTCTGATAATCTGATAATTGCCTCTCGAGTCAAGCACCTCAATCTTTGTAGTAGAGAGGAGGACAGTGGTTTGAGGAATGGAGGTAGCCATCGCTGCACACTCGCAACTGAGTGATTGCTGTAGTTGTGCACTATGGGGACTTTCCATTTGCGATGGACTGACAATAGAGGCAGGTGTACCCGATGAGGAAGGCGTTTGACCATGATGACTGGTTTGCCCAATGTTTTTGGGAAAATGAAGCAAAGTATGGTGTTTGACATGACATATCCAACAACTGAAGGTGGATGGACAATCTTTTAGCCTATGAGTAGACCTTAAGCAATTGATGCAAGCGTTGGTTTGCTTAACGTAAGCTAGACGCCCTGACGGGGTTTTACCTAGAAATTGAGGGCATTGCGATAATGAATGAAAAGGTTGCTGGCATAATCGACATTTATACCTAGCAGTATCATGAGATGAGGACTGAGCAGCCATATTAGCGATATTTGGGATTGATTGCGGGTTATTTTGTCGTATTTGAGAGTCATGAGCATTTGATTCAGTGTTCGCTACTAGACTTTGAGCTCCTGAGTGTCTAGGCGTACCAGAATAGCTACCAGACTTCAAGTTACTTTGGTGATATGAGTTTTGAGGTTTTTGGGACCTGTTGAGATTTATTGGACATGGTGAACTCATTTGGACTGATTCGAGGGCCCTACAATGACTTTCGAGATAATTGGTAAGCTGTAGATAAGTGGGTAACTCAATTTCGCTATGCTCTATTTCAAATGCCGTTCTTGTAGCTGAGTCTAGCCTTGTAAGCAGCATGTTGAAAAGAACAAAACACCACTGGTTGGTTGGAAATCCCAACACCTCGAGCGCGGCCACATTTTCATTGAAAGTATCCAGTAGGTTTCTTAAGTCTTTGGAAGAATTTGTTTTTTGAGTGGAAGTATTATTAATTGCATTCCAGTAGTTTGTAGCTAAATGCCGTTTATTCTGATAGCGATCTGTGAGAGTTTTAAAAGCTATTGCATAATTAGTATCCGTAGTAGGAATGGACTTTATTAAACTAAGGGGCTCACCCTTTAATAATGAAATTAGATATTGAAATTTGGAAATGTTGGGCAATGTAGAATCATGTACCATGGATCTATACATGTCATAAAATGTTGTCCAATTTTGTAAATTGCCATCAAAATTCGGAATAGTTAATTTTGGTAACTTCGCGGTGTAGCTTGCCTGGTTTGATTCATTTGGCGCTAAAACATAACTACCTGGTGTGCTACTAGGTGGAAATAATTCAAAGTAAACCTGTTTTGACCCAAAATAATAACTATCTGCGTCTTTTCTGACAGCATCCTGCTGGTCATATTCCTTTCATCAATTATACCAATGATTTCATTATGATATTTTTGAAAATCAGAATAAGATTCTTCCAAATTCTCCAACCTTACTTTAAGCAGTGCTTTTTGAGAGTCACTAGTTTTGGCTTTTTGTGCAACCGTGTACGTTTCTGTGATTCGGCTAGCACAGACGTAACGTTTTTTAGTTAATTTTTTGATGAGCGCAACGTTTGCCGTCTCAGTTTCCGGCATGTTGATCGAAATGCCAAGAAAATAATTGAAAACATTAAGAAAGTCTTTTTCAAAGTAAAGAATCTATGAAATAGGGTATATACCTAAGAATAAGGTATATACCTGGATTTGCAGGCTGTAACGTAAAACCTGTAAATCGTCGAAAAGCGAAAATTATAAAATTATATATAGCGAAAAATTATTTTGAAATTAAGTAATACAATCATTACAATCTCATTATTAGCACCAATGTATCTATCTGTGCACTGCAATGCTTAAGCTTATCGGAAATAATTGGGTTTTTTATTTAGTAAACAACTATTTCTTTTTTCGTTTATTTGCGAAATTTAAATAAATTTATTTTTAATAAGGTAGGTGCCTCAGCGATAAGTTTTACAGCCGGTTTCAGTGGCCTTGAAATTTCTCAAAAATAGAGAATAATGGATAGCGACAGTTTAGGCGCACAAACCTGCACATAAAAAACTTACTTTATATGGCGATTTTTGCTAATAATTATATTAATTATGATTTTTGATTCTAAAAAGGTTCAAATTTGGCTCGTAGGAACAGAAAATGTTGGCGTAATGGTTGATATTTTAGAATCACCTTCGGTGTTACGTGGACTGTAAGCGCAACTAATGAATATGTAGCAAAAAATAACCATACAAAAGACAATATGATAAAAGGCGCCTTACCTGTGGTTCTGGGGTTCTTCTAGTTCAAAGTTAATTGTTAATACCGGGATCCCGGGTTTTGTTTCGGTTGCACAACACTACCGGCTTTTATTTCGAAACCGGTAACCGGCGAGCTCGCGATATTCATCGACTTTCTTGTTTGCGAAAACGGATTAAAAAATGTGTGTTCGTGTTTCGTGTTTGGCGAGAAGAGAGAGAGTGTTTCGCAGTCGCTTGGCTGTACGAATCTAGTGTTTTTTCGTACCTTTTTTGTCGATCTCGGTTCCATACCGAGGGCGCTGTTGTTCCCTGCATAGGAGGCGCTATACCTATTTGAATTTGTATGGTTTTTCAATATGAGCAAAATTCGTGACTTTGACACTCTTGAAGAGATGCACATACATACATGATCATTGAACCAATCAAAAATATCTGTTCCAATTAGAATATTTCACGTCACAAACATTTCGATCATTTTTTGCTTCAATAAATTTACCACAAAATGTTGTATTGACTTTAATTATTGGAATATGCAGTGCCTTTTTTCAGAAAAATCTTAAATGAATCATTCAAAAATTGATCAGGAAATTTAGAGGTTATTGAACTTCATATTTAATTATAATTATACAACTTTATACGAAAAACATTTGCCGTTTCGCCAATAAATTCAAAGCCGTCAGTTTTCAAAGGGCGGTTCTGTATTTTAAACGCACCAAAAATGTCAATTGAAAAACTTTCCAAATCGGTCTGTGGCCTTTTCCAGAGATGTCAAATTTAAATTATACATCGAAAAAGTTTGGCGGATAATTCTATATCTCATTTTCTCCCGGTTTTAAGGGCAAAAGTTTTAATTGAAATTATCAGAGCGAGCGCGGATATCGAAAAACGGCTCATGTAGATTTTGACATTATTTTTTTCGAAGTAATTTTATTAATAATAAGCATATTGGTGGAATTTTTACTTGCCAACTAAAAATAAAACACATCAACTTTGAGCAGACCATATCATTGTTTTATTTATGTATCTCCTATACATGTAAAAGTGGTATGAAGGGTATAAAATATAATAAATAAATCATTAAAAAATAATACGGAATTCGGGAATCTACTAGTTACGTTAAAAGCTTATATAATTTATATAACTAGTAAAATAGTGTGACAATAATGGAAACTAAAAATATAAAATCTATGTAAAGCTCTATTAGACATCTATATTAAGATCTCATTTTGCTGGGATTTTTATAAATGCATTTCTGTACAGTTTAAAAGTGTAATTAAATTATACAGATGAAATCAGTTTAAAAGGTGCACCATAAATATTTTAAAATTGCAAATGCATTATAAAAATCCTCTATAAATTCGCAGAAAAATGAACTAAATGTTAAATTTTATTGCCCGGATTTTGGTTGAATCGGTGATAAAAGTTTGCCGAATGGTGGAAAATAAAATTTTAGATTAGAATTTAACATGTTTGTAGCATTTTGGGCATTCGGGATCTATTGCGATTACTATATTTAGCCCATTTTTCCTTATTTTAATTTTTTCACCTAACTTAACACCACAGACATTGTAAATATTTTTTGGTAAATATCAATTTGAGTAATATATAATTTATATACAAAAAATATTATTTTTAATTGTATATCATTTAATTAATAATTACACTTATATAAATAAATTAATTAGGTTATTTACAGATCGTATTTACAAAGAAGATGAGAAATATCAGGTTTATAATTAAAGTTAAACTTTATCTAAAGGTTAAACCATATTGGTCCAATATCAATAGTTCAAGTTCAAGATAATGTTTAATTTCAGGGGAAAAAAAAAACATCCAGAAAGAGAACTTCAATAAGGAATTGGGAGAGTATTCACATTTTTTTCACATGAAATTAGAATAATTCTTGGCAAATATTAAAATAGCGTCAGCGGTAGTAACTTAGATAAAACAGAAAAATAGCAAAATTGTGTTAAATACTAAATATATTATTTTGGAAAATATAAGTTGAGTTGAAGCATTGTTTCTGTATGAACGAACACTCTGGACATCTTCAATAGCGTTTTCTAGAAAGAAAAACCTAATTTTAAATTTGTTCTCTCAGATTCAAGTTATCTTTTTCTTAGTTTGCAAAACTAATTTACTGAATTACAATAATAATTATGATATTTTCTAATTTTTGCTACTAGATATCTTTTTGCAAACTAAAAAAATACATATTCAATAAACTCATCCACACGAATAAATTCTTACCAGTAAATATATGCCTAGTATCGGTTGTGCTTTCATCTAATTATGATTGTCCAAGGGAAAGTGCGACAAAAACCAATTTTTGAGAAGTAAGTGCATTTTGGTGCATAATTATTGAGTGCATGAAATAAAAAAAGAAATAGACTCAATGAATATCATTTACAAAGGATTTGGAAAACATGCAAAAACCAACTGAATTAAATTACAAACCTGTATCGGTAGTCTTGAAAGTGAAACTGACTGAATCTGAGCTCCAACCGAATTTATTCCGGGCTTGCACTCTAGCTTCGTATTGCTGAGCTGGTTCTAATCCTCTAATGACGTAGCTCATTGACTGCATACCAACAGGCTGAGCTGGTATTGCTGGCAAAATCACGTCTCTCCATTCTAGACGTCTGTCTTTGATTGGCCGGGAATAATATGTTCCGAGGCCGATGGAGTAGGAGGCGGTTTTGTTTTCCTGAAGCAAATAAATCGATTTTATTGTTTTTGACAAGGAACGGTATAGAAAAGTAGGAATAGTATGAAATAAACATTTTCCACAAGTGCCAGTAACATTATTGGATAATCGTGAAGATATTTGGATAGTTTCAAATTTTCATTTCATAGGAAGGTTCGGCATTTTTTTGCTATTCTTTTATTTAAAATGAAATCGAGATATTTTGCTATTAAAAAACGATCGAAAAAAATTTGAGCGCGAAATATTAATAATTACGTTTGTAATCAGACGTACACCAGAAATAATTAATAAATTAATTAAGCCAATGAAACAATAGTTAGTGATGTTAAATAGAAAGGTAAGTTATGTGGGTGGGCGGCAGACCAAATATCGAGAAAGAGGAACCTAACTCCGTTTCTAGGGCTGCCGTCGGCCGACTATCTCTCACAACGGAGAGGGGTGTGAGTAACAAAAATCAAAATAAGCGCCACCTGTTTTAGTGCCCTACGGTTAAACGGAGTCCCCGATGTTCCGAAAACAGGAAATCTCTAATACCAAACGGTACTGTACCTACTTATAAAAAAACTAACGAGAATTAAATAAAACCCCCGAAAATCAAGTCAATAACTCTATAATGAACTCTATTACCATTATTCATATAGTAAGCAAAATCAACGATATCAACAACATTTCATGAACCGGAATGGCTTTACAAATACTCAATAGTCTCTGAACGAGCAAACAAAATACTTTCAATAATAGTCGCTGCTGGCACAAATCAGCATATGAGGATTTTCGTAAATAAGTAAACCCAAAAAAAGGCACTAGATACCTACCTACCAAAAAGGAAACCTTAAATTCTTAGGTGTGTATCTCCACAATGTTACTTAATTTGCTTCCTTAAATCTATAACAATATACTCAAAATATCGTTGTAAATAGATCTATTTAAACCTGGTGTACAGAACCAATATTTGTGAAATGTGTGTGTACTTTATACTCCAATGCTGTAATCAGAATAAAATGGTAGGCAAACTTAAAATTAACTTTAAATTTAAAACTGAAAGGTGATGAAGTTAACTTTTAAAGCAGGTAGTAGGCACTTCAGTAGACAATAGGGTACTTGCATCGAAAATTAAATTGATTATTGTTTATTGCAAACTGTAGGAAATCCAAAAAAAATCGTTACTTTTTTTTTATTTCGCACAAATATGATTATTCCGGAAGTTATTCAAATATTATGTTTTGTATATATAGATATACTGAGCATGTGCAACGTCACTTATTTATTAGATAAATGACGTCATAGGCAGATTTCATAGTGTTGTATCTCCGTCAATTTTGGACTAAGGAGAAAAAGAAAAAACACGTGCTAACTTATTTTTTATGGACTATCGAAATCAGCAATAAAAAAATTTGATGCAAGGAGCCTATTCTCCTTCAAAATTACAATTAGGTAAAGTTTGGAGGCTCCAGCTCTTGAGGAGATGACGGTAGCCCTTGATACAGTAGGGGTGGATAGTTCTCAAAACGACACCATATTATACTCTAACCTCAATATGTATATTTATGTTCGATCGAGTAGTGCTAGGGACCTCTAAATCAAAGGCCTAAAAGCTTCACAATCTACCAGGTACAGGACTTGACACCAGCAAATCAGTTATCATTGTGCATCTAGCATCAGCAACAGGCAGAGGTGGATGTAACGATACCCAATAAAAGGCCTAAAAGATGAAGGAACCACTATATAGGCTCGTTTTTAACAGGTAAGTACTACAGGTAAGTACTACAATCAATTACGTTTTTTTTTTTTGGACAATGAAGAAAATGTTACAGGGATCAAAGTAAAAAATGAAATTAGGAACAACAGTGTGGATTGGCGTTTTCGACACTCAAAAATTGACACGAACTTAGCTTATTATCCAAAATCTGGGTTTAACATATCTTATAAAATCAGCAAATACTTGCTATGGTGCTATATAAGCGTAATAGCCACCATTAGAATCAATATCAAAATCAAATCAAATCAAAAAATACTTTATTGTCCAAGAAAATCAAATTTCTGTTGACAAAGCATGATATTATACATTTCCTAAATTACAATAAAATTATAACACAAAAATTTGTTGCTAAAGCTAAAAAACATCAAAACCAAAAGGACAAAATGTAAATCAGTAAAACTAAAAAGGTAAAAGAACAAGTACTATAAAAATACAAAATACAAAAAAAAAATTAAAATAAAAAAATAAGCAAATAACATATAGTGATAAAAAAAAGTCTCATATCTCACATAAAGTTGTCTGTAAAAAATTCTTCCAGGGTATAATATGCCTTAGCCAGTAGAATGCCCTTAAATAACCGTCTAAAGCACTTTACACTATTGGCAGTCTTAACGTGAATTGGCAGATGGTTGAAAATTTTTCTGCCATTATAAATAAGTGACCTTTTGGTCAGTTCTTTTGTTGGAATCGGCAGAGGCAGATCAGCTGAATGCCGAGTGCTATAAGGCGTAGTTACACCCATATTTAAATAAATAAATAAATAAATAAATAAATAAATAAATAAATAAATAAATAAATATATCGACGTGGATAATACAAAAAAAAGCGCACATCCAGAACTGTCTCAATTAAATGGAATCAACGTCGGGTGGATGAGCCTTAAGGTCTTTGGCATGCCAAGTACCTATGAGACGTCCATTTCGATCCTTCAACTCGTACGTCCATGGAAAAACAATACGTGACACAGTGAAGGGCCCAGAAAATTTTGGAACAAGTTTGGCGGTGAAATGTTTGGTTGCATCAGACAGATGATAGTCCTTTTTCCAAACTTTTTGGTCAATCACAAAGCGATCTTCACGTCGCCGTAAATTGTAGGCCGGACGTGCTTTCTCGTACGCTTGTGTCAAACGCTTGTGAATATCGCTAAATAGTTGTGCGAGACTGAGAGCGCTCACAAGGGTCAAAATCAGCAGAACTTCGGGTAGAGGTAGAGGAATCATTGTCATGAGGAAGTTGAACTTCACGGACGAAGACGAGAAAATTAGAGGTGAATCCGGTGACATCATGTTTTGCGGATCTAATAGCACAGCCGGCTTTAGCCAAGAATTTTTTCCAATGTCTATGATCCTGGTGGACATACTTAGTAAAAATGGTCTCTAAAACGCGATGCATACGTTCAACGGGTTGGGCTTGTGGATGGTAAATCGCCGTATACCGAAGCTCAATACCATAACCAGAAAGAGTGTTGCGAAAAAGATTGCTACGAAATTGGGGGCCATTATCGACGATAATGCTCTTTGGAATACCATAAACGAGGAGAACATGGTATTTCAACCATTCGACCACACTAGCGGCGGTAGCAGACCGTAGCGGAAAGAATAAGCAAAACTTGCTGAAAACATCACATACCGAGAAGATATAACAGTATCCAGACATTGACCGAGGAAGGGGATCCACAATATCGAAACTGATGACCTTCCATGGTCTACACCATTTCCAACAGTATTTCAAAATCGGTCAGATGTATTTCAAAATAATCACTTTTATTTCAAAAATTTATATTTTAATTTCCAATTTGTCACTTTTATTTCCAAATATATCATTTGTATTTCAAATTAATCAAATGTATTTCAAACTGTACCATTTATACTTCCAAAAAAATCAGATGCATTTCAAAATCATCATTTCTATATCATCAAAAACTGTAAGGGAGATACAGGGTGTCTCGTTATAATTTAATTTCTTAAACTGTACGATATAAACACCATACTTTATTTTTTAACCGAATTGGTAATCTTTGAAATAAAAATGACCCTTTTTGAAATACATTTCACTAATTTGAAATACATTTGATGTTTTTCGAAATAAATTTGGTTATTTTGAAATACATTTGATGTATTTTGAAATAAAATTCATAAAGATTGAAATCAAATTTATGCTTTTTGATATTCAATTGATGATTTTGAAATACATTTGATATTTTTTTAAATTAAAGTTGTTATTTTGAAATACATTTGATGCTTTTTGAAATCAACTTTATCTATTTTGAACTAAAACTGGAAATGGTGTAGTAGCGGTAGGCTGTTGACTAAGCATTTTTCCAGCGGTAGCTTGTTGGAGTGGATTCCTACCCAGGCGAACATGACAACGTTGTATATATCGGAAAATACGAGTTTTCATATTAGGCCAGTAATACTTCTGACAGATTCTTGGCAAACGCCTAGGTGTCCGCAAGTAGGAGGATCATGATGAGCACGAATAATATCAACCCGCTGTACCTTTGGAATAACCAAACGCCAAGAAGATTCCGAATTAGATAACCCAGAATAGGAAATGTTTTGGCCCTTTTATACAGTTTGTCACTATCGACCCACCAAAAAGGATATCGAACAGGATTGTCAATGACCTTTTTCATCATTTCGACATACCACTTATCGGAAGGTAGTGGTGAAGTATCTACATCGATATTAGAAGGTTGATGGTTGTCGATAACATCAAACGCATGAACGGATCTAGATAAAGCGTCTGGTACAACATTATTCTTACCTTTTCGGTGAATAATTTCAAAGTCATATTTTGTAATCGAACGGCCCATCGCGCGATACGTCCGACCGGATCCTTGATGGAGTTCAGCCATTTAAGGCTGTATTGGTCTGTGATGACCGTGAATTTGGTTCGTTCAATGTACGGACGCAGTTTCTCAACGGCGAACAAGACCGCAAGACATTCCTTTCCGGTAGCGGCGTATTTTCGTTCGTTTTTCGTGAGAGATCGACTCAAATAACAGATGACTCGTTCTTCGTTGTCATGAACTTGAATAAGAACAGAAGCAAGGCCGAAATCGGATGCATCACATTGTACTACGAATGGTTGGTCAACATTGGGACATGAAAGTATGGAAGCTTGAATAAGGTGTTCTTTAATTATTCGTTTCATCCCAAAGAAATTTGACGTTTTTCCTAGTATTAACCGCTGCCATACTGCAGGAGCATTGGTGAGCCCAAAAGGCATCAGTTTAAAC